GTTGCGCTGCTCCCTGGGCCACTTCCCCGCAGCTCTGTACTTTCCCTGGGCCACTTCCCCGCAGCTCTGTACTGTCTTCACCCTTACCTCAGGGCCTTGTCTGGATGGAATCCCTGCAACCAGGTCAGGGCTCCTTCTCGCTCTTCCTGGCTTCTGGCAGCACTACCTTGTCTGAGGTCTTGCAGCTCCCTCAGCCAGCCACACACCATCTGCACTCCCCTAGCTCTAGCAAGGCACTGAACTCACTCTGGCCCTGCAACTCTTCTTTTCTAGCCTGCTGGACCCTGATTGGCTGCTTCCCAAACAGCCACTGGAAGCAGCTTGGAGGCCCTCTCTACTGCCCTTTTCTGTGATAGGGTGTGGCAGGGCCACAGGCCTCCAGCAGGGGACCTCAGGGCCTAGTCCACCTCATCACAGACCCACTTCTTCAAGGTGCTGATATGAATGTCTTTTGTCAGATGTCTGATGAATAAACTTAAGTTCTAAGAGGGGCTGGTCAGAAAGTGGAATTTCAATTCTGTGGGAAATTCCAAAATTAAAAAAAAAATTGTCCTCACATAGTACAAAAAGTGAAATTTCAAAATTTTCCAGAGAACAGGAATTCCAAAATTTCATTTAGAAAAAGCAACATTTCATTTCAACCTTTTCAAAATGTTTTCAATGCTCCAACGGCTTCCCAGAGCTGTGGGAACCCTCCAGATGGGGAGCTGGGCAGCCTCAGCCCTGGAAGTCCTGGCTCTGGGGCAGTCAAACTGGTAGTCTGGCTGGAAGCTGGTGCTGCCAAGGAGCTTGGAGTCTGGAATCCTGGAACTCCAGGCTGTCAAGGAGCCAGGAGCCTGGAAGCCCATGCTCCCCAGCAGACTGCCAGGCAGGAAACCAGATTTCCAGTAGCAGGTGGTGTCCATGTTTCCACTGGAATTTCATCTTAATCATCACATTCCCATTGAACATTTCGATTTTAGCAAATTGTTATTTTCCAGTGGAAAAATATTACATCTGAAGATTTCCAACCAGTTCTTCTTTTTTAAAATCACGTCAGTGTTTTACATAATTATTTAGCAACGTTTTTGTAAGAAGTCTGATATGAGTTTGAATGGGTCAGCATATTGCAGAAGGTTCATTATAGTCTTAGTTTAGATTTAAAACATAGCTTTAAAAATTCACACCGCTGCTGATAAAAGTTACAGATTAACAACGGAGGCAGTAGCTCTGATTTCAGGATTGCCAAAATGTACTTGAAAGAGGATTGTAAAAACAAAACAGAACCCAAAAATTAATTAACAAGAATCAGTAATTTTGGAACTAGGCTCTGAAGAAGATAAACGCCAAGGAGAGTCTGTTGTCATCGATGCAAATGAATGTTACTAGCATAAATTCCCTACGCGTTTTCTTCAATATAGACCTTCATGTATAAAATACTGTATAAAATATTTGAATAGTGGGCACTAGCTCATTTATAAATACATATTATCATATGTTAGTATTCTGAGTTTCGATTCTTTGGAAATACTGTAATTTAGTAAATATGAATAATCCTGCCTGTAATACTTACTGCATATTTCTTTGTGTCTGTAAAAATGTAGACTGCAGGTGCCTTCTTCTAGCCAGGCACATGCCTGTACTCTTTTTTTGTGGCACCCTCCACCAGCAGTTTCTCTTTTCAGATGTTTTTTCAGTGACTCAGCCTATATGTGAAACAAATAGAAAATAAACCCCGACCAGGGTAACACAGTCCAACAAATGGTTGGCCCCTCCCCGAGGTCCTCAGTCCCATCTCTGGGCCTGTTTGAGCACTTTCCACCTTCTTGGGCTCCACACAAAACTTGTTGCCTCCTCAGCCCTTTGCCACTCAGCCTGTGTCTGGTGGAGGGATCCGGCCCTACCCACTACTCTGGGTCGTAACCCAGAGATCCTAAAACTAGTAGTCACCCGTTGCTTCCTTCGCTAGTGTCTATTCCTGCATTCCTTGGGCTGCTTCCCACTCTGTCCCATCAGCTTCTTGGGTGCTTGGCCTGTTCCCTGTTTAAGCAGGGTCTCTCCCAAGCCTCCTTGCCTAGAGAGTCTGAAACAGTCTCTTCCCTGTTCTCTCAGGGTTCTTTCTCACAGGCCCTTTACCTCGTCAGCTTTTAACAGTCTTTGGCCCTTCTTGTCAAGTCTCTCTCTCCCTCTGTGCTTGGAGAGCTTCACAGTCCTATCCCTGCTTAGGCAGGGTTTCTCCTCATTCTCCATACCTGTGGAATCTTCCAGCCTTCCACTTCTTCTGGTCCCAGCCAACAACTGCTCTGTCCAGCTGCTGCTGCAGCTTCCTCAGCCAGCCAGCAACATTGCACTTCCTCCTTTGGCTCCAGCCAGCAACTGAGCTGTCCAGGCCCTGCAACTCCTTTTATATGAGCCTTCTAGGCTCTGATTGGCTGCCTCCCTTCAGCCTCTCTAGGCCACTTAGAGGACCCCACTCTATTGCCTTCTTTCTGTGGCGGGGTGTGGTAGGACTGCAGGGTCTTCCCGAGGGCCTCAAAGGGCCTGGTACACCCCATCACAGTCACCATGTTGAAATATATATGTATACTATATATGTTATGCAAATATAATCCTTGATTCTACACTGGAAACCTCTAGTACACAACCCTGAGCCTTTGAACCTCAGATAACTTCAGGGGATTTCTCAAGGTCAGTGGGAGGTCCGCACTAGTGGATCCCAGTGCAGGATCAGACCCTAGAGATGCAGGCATTATAGCTCAGTATATACTTTTCTTCCTTATGAAGAAAGCTTTCTCATAAAGAAGATTGACTTTGTATCACACAGTTTGTCTTTCTGCCATGTGATAATTTTAATTTGTTTTTATAAATTCTTTAGTATAATGTTTAACCTAGGTTGTGTTCTCTTCATCTTTCATAAGATCAAATACATATCAAAATAATTTTTAGTCTGAAATTTATCTTTTTTAAGCTAATTTTATAGAAAAATTTACCTTTTACGCTGCCCATTATACCTGAAAAATTAGCCCGAAAGGAGTCATAGTATGTTTAGGTCTTTAATTTGCTGGAAATTTAAGCCAATGGACTCAAAACAGAAAAATATCATTCAAATATTCCTTAGAGTTTTCCTTGGCGTATTTAAATAATAAAATTTAAAAACATGTTTAAATATTGAACTGTTTATTATTTTCTTTTAAAAGTTCATTAAAACCCTAAAGGCTTCTGCTGTACAGTTGGAGCAAAAAATAGTCAACTGTGAAGGGTAAAAATTTAATCTTTTCAAAGAGAGGTTATGATAGGGTACCAGCCTTGCATATATTCACACACTCAAAATACATGTATGTTTACCAAATGCCTGAGGTTTGTACTGTTCCAGTTATGAAAATTCATCTACTATTCAGAAATCAACCTTGCCCTTAGTTATTGGCAATAAATAACCGAACCTAAAGACTTTCACTGACTTGTCATCCTTTGATCTTTTTGATAGCATCAGAAGCTTGGAATTGCTCTTTTACCCTAACAGTACAGTGTATGCACAAACATCATGGTCTGTAAATATATGCATACACATACACATCTAATCACATATTATGCATTATGTTGTTATACATGCAGTTGGTAGCACGGTTTATAATTAAGGTTGCCTGACACTTCCCATTATAAACCCTGTTTTCAGTTGCTTATAACTTTGCCAATCTTTAACCCATGTGGGTTGAATTTTCCATGCCAGATGTCTGCCTCAGGTTGAATTTTCTTTGGAAGATTTCAGCTGAAACAGTTCAGATTCCTGAAAACAAAACTAGGAAAAAATACATTGTTATGCCCAGGTAAAAAAAATTCCGGGAACCTTTTCTTTGACAATCTCTAATGCATCCATGCTTTGGAGCAGGGACTAAAAATTTGGCAAGGAGGTGAGTCTTTTGCTGTGCCTGTGAAGATCCACCCATCCCAAGCCGGCCAAGCTATAAGCCTCTGAAAAATCGCATTTTGCACACATGTAGTAGACACTTGCTAAACTGCAGCTAAATTTCCCAATGATTCCGTCTGTACTGGGCATGGTCTAGCCTTGGGCAGAGCAGGAATTTCCCTGCAATTGCAGCAGCTCTGAGCTATTGTGGGTTGTCCTGGGTCCAGGTTTGGGCACCTGAACTAAGAGCAGGCATTTTGGGTTCAAGGCAAGACAACAGGGAACCAGTTAGTTCAACCTCAAAACCGTTAAACTGGAAAATTTTCTACCAGCTCTAGTCACTATACGCCTTCCAACTTCTGCAACAAATGAAGCAGGGGGCCAGCAGACAATAGCCTCCTTCTCTGCATAACCATGGTTCATACTCAGAGCATGTCTGTCCTGAGTAATGAATGAGGCAGGAGTCCTGCAGAGAAAATAGTATGTGATTGTGTAATTAGAGTCTTTATCATAATGCATATGCACAAGATTTAAGGTTTAAGGTTGCCGAATTAAGGTTGCGGAGGCAACATCAGTTCTGGCATTTCCTAACTTTTCAGTGCTTGACTTTGCAACCTTAATAATAATCTTTTAATGTACTTTTTTGTGTACATGTATACACAGTATGCATATGTATATGATCCTGTAAAGTGTATGTACAAGTACTGCCTATATTCATGAAGTAGAACTTCATCAATTTGCATTATGATCATTTGTGAATTACTAAGATTTGCAGTGAATGAAGCAGGCTGTACATGTGCAGTGGATGATGGTGTGATCTATAAATGTGATGATATATAAACACACAGAGAGATGCTTATCAGTGTGTGTAACCATCTAACAGTAAATTTACCTCAGAACTGGGAGGTACACAGTACTGTTCATTAACAGTTCTGCATTAAATTTTAGCATGAAACAATTACAGTTACCTTCTTTCCCCGTCATGATAATGAGCCTTACTTGGTTAACAAAAGATCTCTGGACTAAAATTATACTGTTGTTGGGAACTGGGGAAATATAAAATTTGTTGTTTGACAGTAATATTTCATTGGTCTAAATAAACCAAATTTTCCTTCAGGTTTGTGCTTGAACCTCTTCTGCCAAAAAAGATGCATTCTAGGTCTCAAGATAAATTGGACAAGGATGACCTAGATAAGAAGGAAAAGAAGAAGGAAAAAAGGAACAGCAAACACCAGGAGATATTTGATAAAGAGTTGAAATCTACCGATATTTCTCTGCAACAGTCTGAAGCAGTGATCCTTTCAGAAACGGTAATGTTAACAAACAGAGTTTTATTTAATTGTGGGCTATAACTCTAACATTTTTTACAATACAGAAGGGTCATTTTGACAGTTCATTTTGTTTTTAGACTTAAAATAACTCTTAGAAAAAATTCCATACTCTTTAAAACATTCATTAGTGTACCAAAAGTAGATACTTTACTAAACAAAAAGAGCAGACTAATGGTATTTTGTATAGACTTTCTGTAAGATTTTTATATATGGCCTTTTGAAAAATACAATAGTTGATATAATTGAAGAAAATTCAATTGCACCATTCATAGCATGGATTCTTCTAGTAGCTGGTCATGTGAGATTCTGATGGTTCTTCTATGTGGTTTCAGTTATCTTCTGCAAGATATAGTTCGTGCAGTCATTTTGTGTATGACAATTACATATTCTTTATTCCTGGGAGAATTCTGCACCAAAAAATTAAAAATTCTGTGTACCATATTTTAAAATTCTGCATATTTAATTTGTCAGAATAACACTACATATAATCACCCCAGTTTGAATTGTTTTGTTAATTTACTTCAAAGTACCTTTCAGAACTCTGTCTGTAACAATGCAGACACACAAAAAATTCCCCCAGGAGTAGAGAGTTAAAGAAACCCCTACGACAATCCAGTTCCTGTTTCTCTGCCCCATCTCTATCCAGAACCCAGCCAGGAGGCCAGACACCCACAACCCCTTTCCCAGAGCCCAACCATGGGGACCCCCCCCCACAGCCCAGACACCCACACTCTTATGCCCCCCAGCTGTGGAGGCCTCCCCAGCCCAGACATTCCCAGAGCCCAGGGATACAGACAGAGAAACAGCCTGATGCTGGGTCCTGGGCTTGTGTGGAGTTTCCTGCACTCTGCCTCCTTCTTTCAGGGCATGCCGGGACCTGAAGCTGCCCGGAGCCCTCCAGCTCCATCCCCCTCCCACCAACAGTGTCTTCTGTTTGTGAGCTGGGCTCTGACAGGTCCAGCAGCCCCTAGTGGCAACCCCCATTCTGCATTGCACAGTGGCACAGAATTCCCCCAGAAGTAATTTTTGGAAAGCCATTTTTAACAAAAACATGTATACATTTTCATCAATTCACTGGTGGCAGTATGTAAAGATATTCATTATAGTGTATCTCTTAGTTGAACCCCACCCTTCTTTGCAAATATTCCAATTTACCAGGGCCACCCCACTGGTTTATTTAAACACTGAAGTTTTATTTTTAAATTGAAAATTAATCTGTTTTTTGCTAGAGTAGTCACCATAGCCTTGGAAGCTCAGGAGGGGCATCTATTTTGATGTTATTGGTTTAAAACTTTGTCCTCAAGAAATACATGTAATGGTCTCTTCTCTGTGTTAGTCTGTGTCATGACTACTAGAGCAAACTTCCCTGTTAGCAGGAGTTTTGTTGTGTGTGCTCTGAACAGACCTCAGCAAAAACTTAAATCAGAATCCTTGTGCTCTCCATGGGTGTGGCACAAAGACTATTGAAATTAGAGTTTTTCCATTGTCTTCAGTTGGTTTTGGGTCAAGCCCTAGGTTTGTTAAAAGGGAGATTCTCTCTACCAGATCAAGCAGGAGAAGTTTTCGTAGCCTCTTCTCAACCAGAAGACACATTTTGCATAAATTTCCAATGTGCCTCATCTGTTTGGCACAGTGCAGTCAACTGTGTGAATATTAGGGTCTTTTCATAGTCATATTTTGACTGAATCTAAGCACTGCATTTGACATATCTCAGATAGATCACAATTGCACTGACATATGTTAGCTGTTGGAATCAGCAGCCTGTCTTGGCCGTTGCTATTGATTTCAATTTGGAATCCTTAGAGTGGATTTTTTCATTTTTAAACTAGTACATACCAAAGGTCCTTATCATCTAGTCATGGAGATGCTCAGTGATGAACATTGTATAATTATTAGATAAATAATAATTGTCAGTATATAACAGCAATTTACTTTATTTTACTTGCTGTTTTCTGGGTGACAACAACATGGGTTAAGTGACTGCTGCAAATTTTGGAATATCTTTTTTCATTCTTTATGCGTGATTATGCATGATTTATGAGTTCATTTCACAGCTGCAGACACTATCAAACATTGATGGCCTAGTCTCAGCTCTTAGGATGGAGCATGTGTCAACACACATCTGATATATTTCGTAGGTAGAATTCACCAGCATTCACAGTCTGCTGGTCTGTACATTGAGTGAATTCAGGGGCCCCACACCTTGATAGCTCAGAGGGTGTATATGTTCACATCTACACATGAGGAGCTCTGCTGGCAGCTGCAGAGGAAGAGTCTGATCCCCTGGTGTCTGCACAGTTGCTCTGCATTGGCTACAGCAATGGATGAGGCATCATGCATCCTGCCGAGAAGGGATAAGGAAAGGTTGATAGGGGCAAAGGTAAGTCTCAATGAAGTGTGGAAACAGGTGATGGGCACCTTAGAAATGCTTACAGGGGATAGATAGGAAGTTCGATTAGCGCACACAGTTCAATGATAGGCACAGGGATGGATTTAAATGGCAGTCTGCACATTTATTAAGTTAACAGTGAGGGAAATAGATTTTTTTATGTCTTCCTTTTATGGCCTCTCATCCCAAGAGCACTGCCGAATATTGGAGAGGACGGATCCAGGTTGGTTATACTTGTGCTGGTCTAGATATTGCAGTCCTCATTCTCAGAGCTTCTGGTCCTTTTCATAGATCAAGATTCACCATCAATGGAAATCTTTAAATCAAGATAGAATATTTTTCTAAAAGATATGCTTTAGTTCAAACATAAATTAATTCAGGGAAGCCAGCCTGTACTATACAAGAGGTCAGACTAGATAATCGTAATTGTTCCTTCTGATCTACGAATCTCTTCCCCAAGTCAAGAACTCTAATCCCATCAGATAATCTCACCTGGTAGCATGGCTGCTGTGCTTCTAAGGCACTTCCTGTGCTTGTCTACAGAGATTGAGGCAGTCCTGTTGGAGTCCAGAATGCCTTTCAACAGGAGGTGATATGCTGTCAAATGGAACTCGAAAAGGTTTCTGCTGGAGAGAGGCACCTTGGCCTTGTTTCTTGTCTAATTCCAATTATGTTGGACTTTCTTTTGACTCTGAAATCACAGCTATCCCTAGCAACTACTAACTTTTACTTCTCTGCTTTTTCTATCTACCTTGTCTCTGAGAAAAGGATCAGAATGTAATTTAAAAGTTCTTAAAAACAGATGCCCTCTACGTGAGAGTCTGTTGGACCTTGGGATTTGAATTTAACCAAACTTCTGAACTCATAAAAACCTGTATGCACTCTCTCAGAATGTTTCATTCTTAGTTGTCATCATCTCTGCCAGAAAGGTCTCAGACGTACAGTGCTTTAAGGCCAACCTAACTTTTACCTTTTTCCACAAAGATAAGGCGGTACTTAGATTTACTCCAAATGTCTCATTCTCAGAGTGATTGTGTATGCCTTCTTAGGGCTTCTCTACACTTCAAAAGCTACAGCAGCACAGCTGCACCATTGGGGGCTAGGTCAGTTTAACTATGCCACTGAGGGGGTATGGATTTGAGGTATGTCGACTTAATTTTCTAGTGTAGACCAGGCCTAAGTGCCCACTACTGTAAAAAAATATTTTGAGGCTAGGCACACAACTCCTACTATGTCTGTGGAGGCAGCAAGTGCAGAAAACAGAATTACTCCTGGCAAATAACCTCCATTTTCCCCCTTATATAGTATATTGTTTACATTTTTCTTTTCTTAGCTTCAGGCTACTACTCCATGTTCTACCATCTACTGAGAGTGAAAAATTCCCTTTTTTTATTATGATTGGTATATGGAAGGTATTTTTAACAATGGATGGGGCTGAAACATTAGAACTCAAAATTAAAGATAGCAAAGGGAGTAAACTGCAGAAAGGAGTTGGCTGTTTTTCTGTCTGATTAGGAGTATCTCATTGAAGAGATTATGACAGAGAATTGAAAGAGGATTATGGAGTGGGCAGACCAGCTCTGTTGGGACATTTCAATTACCAAACAAACACAAGCACACAACATCAAGTAAAGAGGTTATGGACCCAATAGAGAGCTCCTTCCTAACACAATATGTAAAAGACAAACTGAGAATGGGAGCAATTATTGAGAGAGAAGAAAGATTAGAAAGGGAAAGCGATGAGAAGAATAAAAAACCTTAGGTCAATATGAGAAGAGGGAAAAAAAACTTTATATATGATGCAGTCTTGCATGAGAATACAGGCATTTACACTTTTAATTAGGGTACATAATGGAGACAAGTGGCCTAGGTCTTAGCTCACTTTTGCAGAGAAATAGCCAGAAGTCTCTCAAAGTGAGCACAGCCTGAGCAAAATAGTAGTAGTCTTCATTTGGCTACATGTTGGTGTTGCCATTTAGGACTCTTGACAACTAAATTATTCATATTAAGATACTTCCAAGCAGAATTTTCCGTCTTCAGATAGCAGATCTCCATTTAGCTAATTGAATCAACCTATCCATCTTCTAAAAGGGTGGGCTTAACTTCACCGTATTTGCTTTCCTTACACTGGTGAAAGGGAAATCAGTTTTCATTTAAAATGACATTAACCTGCTCTGTCTTAAAAGAAAAGGTCAGTTATTTTGCAAGGACGTATGGTTTCTCCTTTGTCAAATCATATTTTCCAGATATATTTGCCAGTACGGAGCTGAGCCATTGTATACACTGAATGATATTTGCAAATAGCCAAATATAGCCGTCACTGTCATTTATCTGCCTTAATCATTCTTTCTGAATCCTGAGCTGTCCTGCACATTGACACAATTGGACTGCACCTCTCTACTCAGAAATATTTGAGGCAGTTCAGACTTGTCCAGGTGGCTCCAGCACTTACCCCACACCCCTCCTATCTTTGTACCAGTTTCTCTGTCTCCAGGGGTACAAGCAGAGCTGCAACCACACCTTTTAAGGCTGGTTTTGGGACATCAGCAAGGAAAAAAAATCTCCCTTCTCTCTCCTAAGGGCAAAATCATTCTCTCTATCACCTATCAGGACAAGCAGGCCAAATGGAGAAAGCTGAAGACCAAGAGGGGCTCCCTAGATATGTTACTTGCTTACCTGGCACTCATTATTGTAGTATCTGAGTACCTCACATCTTTAATATACTTATCCTCACAACACTCCTGCAAGGTACTATTTCCTGCCATTTTACAGATAGGGAACTGAGGCACAGAGAGACTAGCCCACAGTGGAAGCTTGTAGCAGAACAGGAAATTGAATACTGGTCTCCTTAATCCCAGGCTAGCACCCTAGCCACTGAACTATCTTTTGTCTGTAGAAGCAGACCCTTTCAGGAGCCACAGAAAGGGAGCTCTACCACGATTGCTCCCAGCCTGTGGACCCTCACAATGTCAGAGAAAAAGGCCTGGAGTTTGGGACCTCTGCTTCCTCCACATCAGCTGCGTCTCTTCCAGAGACACCTCTACAAGGTTGGAAGGGAAAAGTTTCAAGGTTCCATCACTGGTTCTTAAGCTGTAATTTGGCAAGGACGTTTTATCTTTGAAACTATTCTTCCCAAGAGGAAGAACTGGGCTGTTTTAAAGATGTTGTCCTCCACTTCCTTTCCAGCTGTAGTTTGGAAGAATTAAAGGGATGAATAGCACAAAAGTGATAAAGATCCTCATATCCTTCCATGAATGTCATCATCCTTCAAAGAAGGGGAGCTTGGCTTTGGATCATGAAAAACTTGAACCAGAGAAGCAGGAGAGATTCTCCCCCTCTGACATGTTTGAAACCATGGGGAAGAAGGTGTTAGCCACCATCAAGATCCAGTCAGAGAAAGAGGATAATTAGGCCATATTGCAAAAATAGGCCACAGTTATAGTGAAATAAGAGTGTCAACAAAACTGTCTCACTGTTTTAACTAAATCAGTTTAAATCATGCTTTTATTTAAACCTGTGTGACTTTCTCACATAGACATGGGCTAAGAGCTCAAAAGAATAACATTACTCACATATGAGATGATTTGCTCTATTCTCAGACCCTCATATAGGCAAAAAAGACCAAGACAAAGTTTGAGACAACAGTTCAGATAAGAGAGACATGGTGAGATTATTGGCAAGAAGTCTCAAAACCATAATTCGGGGATGTCAGTAACTCAGCCAGAGGTTATGGGGTCTATTACAGGAATGGATGAGTGAGGTTCTGTGGCCTGCAGTTATGGCAGGAGATCAGACTAGATCAGGGGTTCTCAAACTCCATTGCATCGCGATCCCCTTCTGACAACAAAAATTACTTCACGACCCCAGGACGGGGGACCGAAGCCTGAGCCCGCCCGAGCCCCGCCAAAGCCAGAGCCCCACCACCTCAGGTGGTGGGGCCAAAGCCCAAGGGCTCCAGCCTGTAACCTATGCCCCACCACCCAGGGTTGAAGCCCTTGGGCTTTGGCTTCAACCCTTGGTGGTGGAGCTCGGGCTTTGGCCCCAGGCGGTGGGGCACAGGCTTCGGCTTCCACCCCAGCAAGTCTAATGCCACCCCGGCAACCCCATTTAAATGGCGTCACCACCCACTTTGGAGTCCCAACCCACAGTTTGAGAACCACTGGACTAGATGATCATGATGGCTCCTTCTGACCTTAAAGTCTATGAGTCTAAGAACAAGAAAGTCCTTTGCAGCTGAGGCCTGACCTGATAGGAGTAATTAACACCTGGAAGGAGGCATCATTCCTTGAAAGATAGAATTAGGGAGATCCTAATAGGGCGGCACCCACCTCTCACGAGCACACACTGGTTGAGTGCATGTGCCTGCAGTCTCTGATTTGTGGTGACCCCTGTTGGTGGGTTTCTCGGATGGGTTTTCAGTGACTCAGCCTCGGGCCAAGTTTCACACATGTATGTGAAACAGAACAAATCTCTTCTGGGGTATACAGTCTTTAACTTGTCCCAGCCCAGCTATGGCCTGTACCCCCAGGTTTCCTCCCTAAAGACACTTTTTTTCTGCAGCCTAACCTGGCCTCAGTCCTTACTCAGCCCCAACAACCAACCAGGAGCTCTCTCTTGCTCCCCCAGTCCCTGCCAACACTGAACTGTCCATGGTCGTGCTGCTCTTTCAGCCAGCCAGGAACACAGTTGTCTCTCCTCCAGCTCCAGGCAGCAACAGATGACTCCAGCCCTGCAACTCTTTTTATGTGAGCCTGCTGGGCCCCGATTGGCTGCTCCCTTCAGCTTCCCTCATTGGCTGTTTCCGCACAACCACAGAGGCTGCTTGGAGGACTTCTCTTCTGCTCCTCTCTGGGACAGGGTGTGGTAGGACCCTCAGACCTCCAGCAGGGGGCCTCTGGGCCTAGTCCACCCCATCAGAGAGGTAAATAGATTATGAGGTTGAAAAAAACAGAATGTCCAAGCAAGCTAAGAAGGAGAGCTCCCAGGGAACCATTTACTTTGAAGAAGAATAACAATGGACAGTTAGGACTGTAGAGATCAGCTAAGGAATAGGTCAAATGTGGACAATGCATAGACAGAGCATGCTGTATAAGTAGGGCCCTACAAAATTCACAGTCCATTTTGGTCAATTTCACGGTCAGAGGATTTTAAAAATCATAAATTTCATTAGTTCAGCTATTTAAGTCTGAAATGTTGTAATTGTAGGGGTCCTGATCGAAAAAGGAGTTTGGGGGTACTAGCAGTACTGCTACCCTTACTTCTCAACTGCTGCAGGTGGTGGTGCTGCCTTCAGAGCTGGGCAGGTGGAGAGTGGGGGCTGCTGGCCGGGAACCCAGCTCTGAAGGCAGAGCCACTGCCAGCAGCAGCGCAGAAGAAACGGTGGCATGGTATGGAATTGCCACCCTTACTTCTGTGCTACTTCTGGCAGGGCGCTGCCTTCAGAGCTGGGTGTCCAGCCAACAGCCGCCATTCTCCGGCCACCCAGCTCTGAGGGCAGTGCAGAAGTAAGGATGGCAATACTTCAATCCCCCTAAAATAACCTTGTGACCCCCCTGCAACTCCTTTTTGGGCCAGGACCCCCAATTTGAGAAACACTGGTCTCTCCCATGAAATCCGTAGGGTAAAAGCACACAAAAGACCAGATTTCACAGGGGGAGACCAGATTTCACAGTCCGTGGCGTGTTTTTCATGGCTGTGAATTTGGTAGGTCCCTATGCATAGGAATTGTTTCCTGCAAAATAACCAAGCTAATTCAAAAATATGTGATGTAATGTGTAGGAAATGCAATGACGTGTAAATATATGCAAAGGGAGAGGGTTTCTGTGTAACTTTGGAGCTGTGATTTACTCTGCATCCACAACCCTGCATTTGAGGCTTATCAACTTAGCTTAGTGTTGCTGTATGCCAAATAAAGGAAACCTGAGTGACACAATCTGGAGTCAAGCTGAGTGTTTTGGATCCCAGAGAACTGTGCTTCCAGAACTGGACAAGTTGTTCTGGATAAGCAGAGTGGAAAAGGTCTTGGAGGGAATCCCTAATTCTGGAAGACACAAGTTGTAAGGAGAGATTTGTAGGTTATGGAACTGAAAGTAGTATGCCAATGTATCAGTCTGGGGCTACTGTGTATATCTGATCACCCTGGATGCATTCAATTTTGAGTGATTTTGGGGGTTTTGGAGAAAGAGGACTAATTTAACATCTAAGACAGTGGATGGACGGAAGAAACATTTTCAAAGAAAAAATTATTTGCAAGAAACTGAGCTTAACTGTGCTTCGTCGTGGCAACTAGGCTGTCTCAGTGCATTTGTTGCTAGTATCGAGGACTTCAGGCTATTTTTTTACTGTAATTTCATTTAAAAGTATACGTTAAATAAAACAATACATGTTTGACTGCTAGAGTGAGGAAAAGGCAATGTGTTTAACAACCTATTCTGCATCCCTGACTTTTGATTTTTAAGTGTTCTTTAGTTTATAACAGATTTTTTACTATGATGGAAGTTGTTGAATATCAGAGTATAGTCACCAAAGACCAGGAAGAACTCCAAACATTGAACAAAAAATTAAACATTGCCAGACTACATGCTCTAGTTCATAAAAACCTGTGCAGGAAAGGGAAACCCACGATTTTGCTCAGTACAATACTCATTAAATCTAAAACATGTATCTTATCATTGCAATATTACATTCTAGATCTAAGGAAATGTCTTACTTATCACAAGATAACAGCTCAATAAGAAGTGTTTTTCTTTAAAATGTAACCTGCTGTGCTGTAATAATGTGTGTTTCTGCTCAGGCTATGTGACACATTATGGTGAAACCATCACATTTTTGTCCTAATGCAGATCAGTCCACTGAGACCACAAAGACCAAAGAGCCAAGTTATCAATGTCATTGCAAGTGAAAGACGTTTTTCTGTCTCTCCATCATCTCCAGCTTCTCAGTCAACACCACCTCCAATCACTCCAAGGACCAAACTTCCTTTCAATTTACCGTCCAGTAAGTTTTTTTTTTTAATGAAACTTTGTTCCTAAAATATTTTGTGCAGAATGAATTACATTTCAGCCCCCTTACTCTGAAATGTTTCAGAATCAACTGAACCACTTAAGTCAGATCAACAAGAGGATAATCCAATGTGTACATTCACATCATGAGGTATAAGTGTATTTTTGGGAGTTAACAGATGTATGGTTGTTTAAGCTATATTATTACAGATGATGATTTCTGTGACTTGATCACTTGGTCATGTTTACATTTCTTACACGTTTTAATATAAGAATTAATTTAAAATAATGGGAATATTGTGAACTGACTCTCTCTCTCGTGACTGTATTTCTCAAATCTTTTTAGAGATTTGGTGTAAAAAGTTCAGTGGCTGGAGTTTTGATTACTTTCATTTAATACCATCTTCTCTACCTCTGTGTACATGTTTAAAAAAAAAGTGGTATTTTTCCTAACACACACACAGGCAGGCCTTAATCTTGCAAAGCATTTCAGGCAATTTATAAGTGTTACAGTCAAATATTTCATCAACATGTGTTCCCAAAGATTCTCACCAGCATGCTCCAAGTTCTCTCTGTGAGTTTTACTGCCACTGACCATAAGATGTAGCTTGCAGATACATACTATAGTAAGGAATTTGCTCCTTAGGCCTGTGCTATGGTACACCTCTTGTGTTTGTCAAGTGACAAAAACTATTTTTGACTTTTTACTAAAACAAGAAAAATTGCTTAAAGAAATAAGTTTTCTGCTCCATTTCACAGTGTCATTTTTTAAAAATATTGTTGTTTTATAAGTGCCTAAAGATTCATGCTGTGCTGGCTTCTGTAGAGTACAAAGGTTGAAGGAACAATCTCCAGCTACTGTAGTTAGTACCTGAGATGGACTTTCCTTGTGTGTGTAGTAGCTACAAGACAGAATAGCTTGTCTTTTCCCTGCATTTCTCAGTGAATTCTTCTGTAAACTTTCATAGGTTGGATTCAGTCTTCAAGAACTCGTATTACATAACTGAATGGAGTACAACTCCCATTTTGAGTACAAAGTTAGCTTCCACAAATTGCCTTGCAAAGTTTCCAGTTGTTGACACTTAGCTAAAAATCTCACTGGGCACTAAACTAATAAAGAAACAACATTTAGGAAATAAGTCCTTTTTTATGCATGTGCCTAACTTCTATTACAGATAACAAAAATTACAGATCTGGCAAGTTCACATTTGCTTTATTTGTTTTCTTTGATATTTTATTTTTAAATAAGCAAAACTTATTGGAAAGAATGTTGACACACAGCAAATTTATAAACCATAATCCAAGATTCCTGTATTCCACATAATTGTATCAACAGAATTCACTGTGTGTAGCAGAAGTGTGTTACAGAATCTGAGGGAGAGGGAGGCTTGTTTGTTTGGGTTGTTTCTACACATCCTGGTTGGAAAGATAACTTCAAAAAGGTGAATCAAGTGTAAATCAAGTGTTGCCTTCCTCAGTTTCCAGAGAGGCTGAAACAATAATTCTGACTAATATAAATTAATTTTCAGCAATCCAAAAATGACAGTCTTGCACATTGAAAACTGAAAATTTGGAAACATAACATAATCTGAATTACATTTCACAGGGGCTACTATGCTAATTATTTATTTGTTTTCATATTTAATAAAAACCTCCATTTTAAAAATGTTTCTGAAGCTATCACATAGTTTTGAGAATATTTCTACCAGATTGCTGTGGACTCTAGGACTTTGCTGCATTATTTAGGTGCAGCTTGCTACAGAGTACACAGAGCCTTGACCTTAATCATTCAAAGAATTATAGCTCTAACATTTTTAAAGAATTCCAGGATAATAGATAATTTTTTGTGAAGCAAGCTGGCTAAAAAGAGTTAATCTTATATTGAGCTATGAGAATAGTGCTTGCTTCTTGACTATCTAGGAGAATGAAAAGTACAATTTGATAATCTGCTCCACAGAATCAAAGAAGGTAGAGATGAAAAAGACTTAAGTCATCTTGTTGATCCCTGCCAGTTGAGAATTATTCCCAATGGCATATAGTAAATAAAATTACGGGATACACAGACAACATTGGATGATGGTCATCTCAGATGACCTGCACCAGTACCCTGCACAATTGTAGCAAAAAGAAATTTAAATTAGACTTATTTACACTTAAATGTTCAGAAATCAAGATGAATTTAGGCTTTGGGAGAGGAGATTGGTAGGGGGTACATTGTCTTTGGGATATCACAAATAGACATACAATATTGAGGCAAACAGTTCCTCCCCAAATCGTAGCAGTGAAATGATGTGGTTTTGTTTAAATAACTTTTTGCTGCAGTAAGGTGACTTTTGGACATACTTGTGACTGCCATTCAGGCCAGATACTTATTTTATATATGTTAATGGTCTGCTAAGTGAAGTGCTGGGTTTGGTCCACAGCTAAATTTGAACTTTGATTTTAAATGAAAAATAGAGTGTGTTGCAAATACTGTATGTATCAAAGCCCTTCACTTTGGGACGTATCCTGCTCCTTCTCTGTAAGTATGCAAAGCTATCTGGCAATGGAACTGGTGCGTCCAGGCTTTGGGGAGGCCAGGTAAGAGGTGCATACCCCCTACACAGTGGTAACTCAGGTACTACAGGGGGAAAGTGTTATTTGGAAGAGGAGCAGGGATGTGGCTGGAATAAAATCTATTATGCAATTCCAGCCATGGTTGGGGGCCACTAGGAATTGTCAAGGCTATTCCATCTATTAAAATGAAGTTGTCTCCACAGGTCATCTCCTCTGCTGCTCCTTTGTTTGAGGAAAAGATTCCTTTTCTACCTCTTCCATGGATCTCCCCAGTGCCTATCTGAGATTCACAGGCTGAGCATGGGGAAGTAGATTTGGCCCTAAAGAAACAGAGAGCCAGGTCTTCTCATACTCTTAGCAAATACACTAAAATGTTTTACCAGTAATTCCTGTATAAATAACTTGACCAGAAATTAAAGTCAAATGAATTAAGAGTTTGAAATACAATTATAGCTACTAAAAATAATGTAAACATCAAAGGCATCTATTTTATTGAGGGGTACATGTGTGCTCTGTTTACGCAAAAGTTTCATTTTCTAATCAAAGTAAATTTGGTATTTAATTTAATTGATTGTTTTCCTCACCTTTAAGAATTAGCTCTTCTGTGAGAGCACTGAAACGATAAACTGCTATTTTTATGTTAATCTAAGTAAAAATATGTGTGTGCTTCATTAAGCAAGGTGTTTCTTAAACTTAAATTGTATGAATATGTTAGTTTTGTGTCTCCCTAACTCAGGGATTACAGTTGTGTACATTGACATTTTATAAGTAAAATTCTGCTCTCAGTTACAATGGTTGAGTTCTGTTATAGTCACTGGAATTTCACCATTCTCACTGACCTCAAAATTTTGACCTTTTATCTTCTATCCACAATAGCATACAATGATTTAATATTTAACATGTTCTATGCTATCATTTAATATACCTAGGAGAAGTCTTTAGTACACTTATATTTCTCTGTTAAAAGGCATAAATCTCCCACTTTAAGATGTTTATTTAGACATAATAAAATACTATGTAACTCTCTCTAGAATGTATGATTAAATGTGAAGGTTTTGAAATGTTCCTCTCAAAAACTACAGTTAGGGTTAAACATGTACATGTAGCTAGTTTAAGTTAAATATGGAAGAACATCAACCAAAGGAAAAACAGACACATCAAAACTGCATACACACACAAATCTTACTTCTGCCAAAGTTCTCCAAATGTTTCATTAAATCACTGTAGAAGTATCATTTTATTTAATTTATTACTGTTTTTTTGTATTAAATGTTGTTAAGAAGACACATGGAGTATGAATGTTATGGAACTTGATTTTTACCATGAAGAGACCGTCTTTCCCGTCAGGAGCTCAAATGTCTAAATAGACACACAAGACCAAGCACCCTGGGCAATCTGAGAAACCTGTTTGAAGCATTAATTTTTTTGGTAATGAGTGGGTAATGCTATAGTCTGATGATGTGTTTAAGTATGTGTGGGCTTTGTAGAAAGTGGGTTTTGAGGGGTTTGTAAGAAGAGGTGGTGGGATGCCTGCTACTTTTGGATGTGGGAAGGCGTTCCAAGTGTAGGGAACAGAATGAAAGGAAGGATAAGAATGAGAGAAAAGGAAACAATGGGAGAAGTGAGGCAGAATTCATTCAGGAAGAAGTAGACAGATATGGGAACAGTGAAGCAGGCAGCCATAGAATTGCTCAGGTCCTTGAAGGAAATGACAAGTTTCGAGTTGAAGAGGCCATTGGAAGAATTTGAAAGTGATGGATGAGGGATATTTTTTTAGCTGATGTAGACTGAACGGACTAAATAGAGATGAAATGACAAAGAGATTTCAGTGATAAATGAATACAACTGTGTTGAAGCTAAAGTTGTACTAGTGAAGAAAATAGTAAGGTAGGCCATTTGGGAAAACCAGAAAAGAGAGACAGTGAGAATATTGCCAAATATTCTGCATTAAAAAAGAATCTGTGTAAACAAACCCTCCACTTACTCAAGAAAAATCAGCCTTTAAGTGAAAACGGTTTCCGCAATTTATAAACAAAATGATGTATTATAAGAAGGGCTTTATCAGTGCTCATTCCTCTGGCAGAGCTCTCGCTTAAACCAGTGGAAGATTTGCCTGTAGAAGAATGGCTGAATATGTTCCTGTGGGTGAAATTTACCTGTGAGAAGGGCCAGCACAAGACCTATACACCACTTAGGCCTTCAAAACAAGACTTAAATAGAAGTTAATTCCTGCTTAGGCCTAGTTCTGATCATCTTCACTAGGGTAAATTTCACCCTGTTAATGTTTGTTCTCTACCTTCTGTGAGTAAATTAAAAAAAAATTTGTTGTATATACTCTAGGTTTATAATGTTGGTTATTTAAACAACTAATGACTCATAATTTAATATAATATATAATATAATATTATATAATTTTGCCAGAAGCTGGGAATAAGCGACAATGGGATGGATCGCTTGATGATTACCTGTTCTGTTCATTCCCTCTGGGGCACCTGGCATTGGTCACTGTCGGAAGACAGGATACTGGGCTAGATGGACATTTAGTCTGACCCAGTATGGCCATTTTTATGTTCTTATGGTGCTCTGGATTTTGAAAGTTTTCAATAGAGATTTGTGGTTATTTATGGATTTCTTTAGTGCATTTAATTTTTAAAAGTCTAAATTTCTAAAAGTAGAAAAGTAAATAAAGCTCTGCTCTGTTATATTCTGTGTATACTTTGGAAAATTACTCACATCACATTTTCAATACTGTACAACCCATAGACACAGATGTTACAGCTGAGAAAATTTTATTTGTTTTAAATGATCTGTGAATATCAGCGAGTGAAATCTGAGACAAGGGACAATGTTGTACAATTTCCTTTTTTATTAAACAGTGAGAGACCTTGTAGTGTTGATACAGACGGTACACTTAAAAGTTGACCTACCCTGACACAGTGATCCTTACTTTCATGATTCCAGCAGTTTCTTTTTCTTTCTTTTTTTTTAATTTAAAAGCTATTGTTCCATGAGCAGCAAATAATTATACAGTCTATGAAATGAAGAGTGAACAAATGGATGCATGGGCACTATCTCTATCATAGCATTAATGCCTGAAGAAACATTCTGCATCTTAAGATTGATTTAAATGATCCAGAGGCTTAAAGAAATGTTAATTTTTACAGATCTGGACCTGAATGGGGTGTCTAGTTTGGAAATGGCAGACATTCCTCCTCCTTTGCCTCTCAAAGGTAGCATTGCAGATTATGGAAATCTCATGGAAAATCAAGAATTGATTAGCCCTACAACACCCCCCGCTGCACATCAAAGGGTAAGTCTTAGAGGTACAAATGATTTTCTGCTAGTTTATTTGCAACATTATACTGGCCAAGAACATGAAGTTCTATGTAATGCTGATAGCAGACATGTATGCTTCCAAATGATTTCTACTACTACAGAACAGTGTCTTAATCAGGGCGTGAAGGAATGTAGTGGCTCATTCTAAATGACTTGTAATAAAGTTAGATTCATTCTGGAGAAAACTAAATATAAAGCAAAACACTGTTAAATGTGTTAGCAAGGGAGCTTAAAGTGATAGGATGTAGTCTCAGCAGCAAATTAGTTTTTATACTCTTATACAATTCTATTTCAGGAGAAGAAATTAAGTATATTTCTGACAGCTTTACATTTTTGAGTTCTCTGTCATTTCCTATATAGGCAACCACAGTTGCCCCCTGAAAGGAGCAGATCCCTGAAACATTTTTCATCATAAACATATTTTTCAGATTCAGGCAGGGGAAGATACTTTTTCAGCTTTCTTATTTTCCAAAAGTCACTAGAATATAGTGCAGCTATTAAAAATATTTTGATTTTCAAAAAATCTTCAGCACTTTTGGAGAAGGCTATCATTTGGCCTTTTAAATGTGTAACTTTTTAGAAAAGAGATATACAGTTTTATGCAGGAATGTTTCCCTGTTCAAATTCCTAATAAGAATGATAATTTTTCAGTTTGCTTATCAGAGATATGCACAGATTTGTCTGAGTTAAAAAAATAATTCTGAAATTTATCCTTCAAATAATTTGTTTTTAAAAAAGTTAAGTGAAACTTGATCAAGTCTGGAAGAAAAGTTAGGTGGAAAGTTCCCTATTTTTATAGATGAAGAATGTGGTTTACAAGTCACTACAGGCCAGATTTTTGAGACGGGCTGAGCAACTGGAGTTGTACATACTCTCCACTTCTGAAAATCAGGCCCTGAGTGACTTCCCAGAGGTCATGCATGAAGTCTGTGGTAATTCTGGAAATAGAACCCAGATTTTCTGATTCCCTGTCTTGTGCCTCAACCGCAAAGCTAATTTAATATGATCATCAATTCTGTGGACTTGGACTTTATTCAAGTACAAACAGGAAAGAAACATGCCAAAATAGCTAAAGCACAGGTCTGAGAGTAATAAGATAAGGGTTCTATTCTGAGACTTTGCCACTGACTTGCTGAGTGATCTAGGACAATTCACTTAACATTTTGCCTCAGTTTTTTATCTTTAAAATGGGTATCATAACACTGTGCTTCATTGAGACTTTGTGGTTTTACACATTTTTTACAGTCCTCCAGAATGTTTTCTGTCTTTTACTCTAGTTTGCCAAAATGTCCAGATCCCTAACCACCAGTTTCTGAGGGAGCTCAGGATTTGAACACAACCTGAAAAGTTAATCAAAAATATGTTCTAAATCCTTAGATAATAAGCTCCTGAAATTTTATAAGACAACAACTGAGTGTTTGGCTCTTCATCTAGACTTCATAAACTCTTCAAGAGCCAAGAATCCAGGTGAATGAACAGTGACAAAGTCTGTGAGGTAGATTTGAAAACAGATTTGACACAAAACTAGCGGGATTATATTTCATATAATTTAAGAAATTCATACAATGTAATTTAATGTAATTCATACAATTTTATAGCAATGATTGCATTTATTACACTTTGTACTTGGACCCCAGTGAAATTATCAAAAGCAAAATGTGAAGACTGATGTAGAGCATGAAGATGATCAGTCAGGTATGCTCTTATAACTTTTATGACTGAACCCCCACAATTTATGGTTACAGGCTATGGTATTTCATAAATAAATAACAGTCTTGATTATCTGTCTCGTAAATGGATTAGTTTTAAATTATCTATTCTTAGCATCAATAAGGACAAACCATTGAAAAGTTCTGGAGATAATATTATCCCAATTGCTTTAAAAATGATACTACAGAATGGGAAAGATCTCACTGTGTTAGAATTAAGTACTTGGCTCAATACTGGTTGCCTTGAAGTCAAACATGAAAAAGCTTCAGCGAACAGAAAAAGGTACATTGACAAATGTATCAAGAAATGGGCATATCGTTCTGAGTACTTTAGGTCTAACTGCTGCCAATAATCATTTATGGTGCTTGAGATTTTTATTTTTTTATGTTTAGATTATTTGGAATCCATTGTTAACCTACCTTGCTTAAGTCTTTTTATTCCAATAATCTTCTAACTATAATGTTTTGATTGTTATCTTGTTCGTTGTAATTTTTAAAATATTAACTAGAATATCTATATACATATTCGTTCTTGCATTGTGTGATTTGTTCTGCTACAAAAATTCTGAATAATATACATGAACATGAAAAAGAATCCTTGGACTCTTGCAAGGATTATTATTACATCAAGGCATTCCTCTAGGCTGTTGTCCTCCTTCACAGGTTTGTGTACATCTTCGCATACAAAATAACTGCCTCTTTAGCATTCACAGTCAAAAGGGAAACTCAAATTAAATAGACAAAGGAGCACTTACATTTATAAATATTGGCTATAATACTTACTATTCACAGGATAATAGTTTTTATGAGAAGATTTCCATCAATCCAGCAGCAGATACAGAACTTGACAAAGAGTATGGCAAAGAAGGAAGTGGCGGTGCATAATAAAAGAATGAAAACAAAACATTTGTTAATGATGACGATAACATTTATTTTGACTTTTTGAGATTCTGATGCATCAGTAACATTTGGACTGGAATCCGTTTTGTATATAGTTAAAATCTGTTTATAGTGAAGTAATCCAGTGTTTGCATGTTTGTATGTTGCATTGCAGATTATTTTATTCCTTGTATGTGAAGAAAATGATTATAAGAAGGTTTTACTGTGTGCTGTCCTCATTTAGCCATAGAAAACCACGTGAGATTAGCTGGAAGCTGAGTTAAGTATTAGGGGCAGATCCTCAGTTGATGTAGGTTGTCATAGCTTTATTGACTTCAGTGGAGCTATGACAATTTACATCAGCCGAGGATCTGACTCTAGGAGTTCATTTTCACCTGTAAAGCCCTAAATGGCCTGCATTAGCTTACCTGAGAGATTCTTTCTCTCTGAGATTCACTGCAGGGGCCCTGATGCTACATCCCTTTCAACAGAATGGGCTGCTGGCAGAGCAGTCTCCATAATAGCCCTGGAGTTTTGAAATGTCCTCCTACCCCTGGCCTGAAATAGCTCAGAATAGCTGACTTTCAGGGCACGCTACAGGGTCTGTTTGTTTCACCAGGCTTTTGAAAAGAACTAGGGGAAAGTGAAGAACTAGCACACGTGCTCATACCTTGTGTATGGCAAAGGAATACTTGCCTCCAATTTCAGGGCTGTCTATAGCATAGGCTTTCCTTGTAGCAAAGGACCTTCTGTGTTGCTCTCTGCCAGACTCTCTTATACATCATCATCTGGCACTGACTGCATTAACCTTGAGTGCATCAGCATCATCAACATCACTTGCTTCATTGTCCCCTTGGTTCTTCCTGCATCTTCCATGCAGCCCTCAACAGCAGCTCTTGCCTTCTGCCTTCCAAACACCTTTAGGACCCCACCAAAACCTCCACTAACACCATCTGGAGCTGCTCTTCCATTCACTAGGAGAGCTACATCTTCTCCTCTTCAGACTCTGACCACGACAGACCTATGTTTCCTCCATGGTCCTTCAGCTCTCCATACAGGTCACGTTCTAGGGACACCTGGACCAGGGAACTTGAACAGTATCCTTACAAAAGAGTCTCCAGTAAGGTACCCACTACCATGGGCAGTACAAAGATTGGAATACCCTCCTGAGCCTTATTGGGCATCTTGAACTGTTCCAAGAGCATCTAGATCTGCCTCAGAATCTCAATCTAGGAGGAGTCACCTTCTCCTATACCAGCCTCATCCATGTATATGACAGCATGCCAGGTTTCACCTCAGAAGTCTGTAGGCCTGGCTTCACTCAGTACATCTTCCAAGCAGATGTTCTCTGGACATGCTGATTTGCGTACTTCCACAGCTGCTTCAATCCCCGGATTGGTTGTTGGATCCTGAGACTATATGCAAAGGGGTTCCTTTTCTGCTGGAATCAACTATGACTGTTGTAACAGACATGTTCACCAAAGCCTGGGGGGGCTTATCTGGGTCAATTTAAGGCTTAAGCACTTCAGAATCCTCAGGATGTTTCACTCTATATAAATGTGCTAGAGCTTTGAGCTATTCATTGGGCCTGAGAGATCAACCACAGGGGATCGAGTGGTTCAAGTTCTCGCAGACAATACCATAGTTTTGTTTTAGCTGAACAAGCAGGGAGGTGTAAGGTCATATCAGCTGTGCCAGGTAGCAATCCATTTGTTGAGCTTTTGTATAAAGAACAATATCTCACTAAAAGCTTTTAACCTTCTAGGAGTGAGGAACGCTATTGTGGATTCCCTCAGCAGGAACTTCATAGACCTTCTGAATAGTCAATAAGAAGAAACATTCTGCACCAGATCTTCCAACTGTGGGGATACCTGGTAAAAGACCTCTTTTGCAACCAATCTGAACGGCAGATGCAAGAGATTCTGCTCCAGGGCAGGTCACAGCCCACGTTCCATGACAAATGCTTTTCTCCTCTCATAATGGAGAAATCTGCTGTATGCATTTCCTCCAGTCACTTTCATTCTGAGGGTGAATGACAAGACAAGCTTAATCTTTGTAGTGCCTGCCTGGCCAAGACAGTATAGGTTATGGACCTAAATCAACTCTCCATTTAGCCACCTGTTGTTTTACCCTTGGTTGAGGATTTCCTGTCTCGAGACCAAGTCATGTCTCTACATTCCAACTCAGTCTCCCACCTTACAGCCATAAACCTCACCTTCCTGTTGGACCAATGAAGAGACACTCTGCTCCCAAGATATCCAGGCCATTTTGGTGAACAGCAGAAAGGATTCCTCTAGAGCCACATATGCAATGAAATGGAAAAGGTTTTCGGACTGGGTGGAATCTCACCATTTATTTCCAGACTGTACAGAGATGAGACATATAC